ATCATCATGGGTTTTGCTCTACGCTTTCATTCAGGCTGCAGGGCTTTAGGGGCATGTTCTCTAGAGCTACTGACAAACTAAATGGCTGTCACTCCCTGTGCAGAAACTTTGTGATGAATCTCTCATTTTTTGCCATGTCTTTTTTTTTCCCTTAAAGAAAAAGCAATCATTTTACAATAGGAAGCAACTAATTCTTAGCATGTTAGCAGCAGTTTTGTTCTCCTCTGTCCCCTAGTGCTACTGTAATATGCTGCAGTGCCCTTCAGGAGCTGTTAGCTGAGCTAGTCCTCTGCCTCTTCTACTCTTACTCTTATGCAAGTCACAAGTTCTGCCAAATTATTTGTCCTCCTCTAAGCAGGTTGCAATGTACTGACTTTGGGTTCAATTCATATTTAGTTAAAGCATCTTTAGGTTTTTGAATAAAAAGGGTGCTGAATTAAGCCTCAAGGGAGCTTATTTACTGTGTGAACTTCATCTACTGAACAAGAGCCCAAGGATGCTGTGTTTTCAAGGTCGTAACTCTGCATGTAATGATTCTCCCGCTCCTCTTTTGAGAATTTCCTTCAGTACTTCTATTGTTAGGGTGTGCTAGTTATGAGAGAAGCTACACTATGATTTATTCAATTGTTTCTTTAATCAGAAACCTGTTCTGTGGTTGGAGAAGAATATGCTACACAGTAGATGGTTGGCATCCAAGAAGGGTCAAACACATCTCAAAAAGTGTACAGCATGTACAGCTACCTATTGCCTGCTTTGGTATTTACTGGGTATTACTGCCACTTGAGTCGTCAACAAAAATCGCCACCCGTCCCCCTTGTTGCGCTAACAAGGTCATGTCTGTAAGCAAAGAGATGGAAAGACACTTCAGCTCTCCAGTCTTGTTCCCTCTACACCACCAGGGACCACGGGGAAGAAAGCTGGGCTATGAACACAGTCCTTGTATGCTGCTACCCCTTCTCCACCTCCTTTTTCTTTACTTAGAAGTTCACAACATTTCATATTTCTTGCCTTTAGCCTCACTATCTGCTAGAGCTTCACCTCTGTTGACTCCAATGCCTTCCCTCCTGCCGCTGGTAACAGGCCTGAGGGACTACTCAAAAGCTTCTCCTACAACCATCTCTACCTCTCCTTGCTGCCGTCCTCTGTAAAAACCGCCCATTCTCTGTTCCATTGCGCCCTTGGTCTGCTTCCTTCTCTTCCCAATTGTCCTAGAAATTAGCCAGCTAACGAGSACTTGGACAGTATTCATGTATCTTCTGCATGTACCTGAGTGCTGTAGGTGAAAGCTGTGTCCTCTCACATGAGGGCTGCTGGCAGGCCGTGCCTTGCCTTGCCAGGACAGCCACCCCGGGCTGCTGAGGAGCAGCTCGCTTTTCYGCAAGCAGTGCAGGGGGAGAAGGCTGCTGTGGGCCACACGGATGGTGCTGGCAGGGGCAGCTGCCGCCCTTCTTGAAGGGCGTTCTCTGTTCTCCATCGTTCCGCTTTGCCTGTGGCTCCGTGGCAGTTTTCACAGGCACGGGCAGTTTTCACGGAATGTTACGTGCCCGGCTAGCCCTGTGTGSGCAGCTCCTCTGTCATTTGATAGGCCATGGCCCGTACTGTGCAACTCTGCTTGAGAGTAAAGAGAAGTAGGAGGCTGGCTGTGTTGGAAACGTGGGACATCCTGCGGCGCTCATGTGCGCTCCCGGGAAGGGATGTGGTTCCTGCGCACAGAAGGAAGCACCACTGAGTGTGCCCTGAGTATGGCTGGGGCTTCAGTGGCCACAAGTGTCTACCCCGTRACATCTTGTTCAGCAGCAGGTCCAAAAAGGTGCCTGTTCACACTGGAATCTGCCCGCTGCAGGCCTGCTTTCCCCAGCCTGCAGGCCTGAATCTGCTTTGTATTTATTTATTTTAAGCAGTAGAAGTAGCAAATCTGAGGACTCTCTAACTGTCTCTTAAAACAGCCACTTTGGAGTGACATTTCTCTGGGGCATCTGCGTGAGTGTTACCTGTTGGAGGGTGCTGGGTATATGCCTTTGCTTTATGTCTCTGGTATGTAGTCATCCCTGAAGCTAGAAATAGAGAGCATGCACATAAGAAAGGCAGCTTTTGCTCAGTTTGAGTGCTGCCAGTGTTGGGATGCACCTGGACACACCAGGTCAGGCCTAGGCTGAGGCAATTTTTAGCAGCAGGCTGCTGTACCCTCGCAAAGGGGAACGCAATTTACACAAGGCGATTCTGCTGCTGCATCTTCTGATGAGGCAGAAATCAGGGTCAAAGGCAGCTCTCTGCAGCGAGTGCTCCAGCATCTGTGTCCGAGCTTCCTGGCTGTGTTTGCTGGCCCTGTCAAGCAGGGGCTCTTGGTGCAGCTGTCTGTGCAGCTCTGAAAAAGAAACAGCCTGCGAGGTGGTAACTTGGGAGCCTGGTTGCTCTTTGCTTCCTTACCCTACCAGCCCCCTCCTTGATTGAATCAGAGCAATTTCTTCCTTCTCCCACATCTGACACCTCTTCTCTGACATTTTCTCTCGATAAATCAAGAAATGCTTCCATTAAACCTTCCTGCGTCCTTCTCTTACCTCCTGGCTAATTGGGGATGCTTCAGAAGTCCTCTCAAACTGACACAGAAAAGCAGAGTGCAGAGATGACAGTGGGGGCTGCAGCACCCCCCATTTAACTGTCAGACACAGAGTATGATCCCTCTTGCTGTGCTGCTCCTTCGCTTAGCTCCTCACAGGTGCACTCTGGTTTTCCATCTGTGTGGGCCAGATGCCCCACAGCTCTTGCCCATGGTACTAATCACTCGTGGGYCACCTCTCTGAATAGTTGGTCACTTCTCTATTCAGCTTCTGCATAGAGGGAAAAGGAGGAACCKCATGTCTCACGTGAGCATAGGGCGCAGTTATGTCTGGAGAGGTGTCCCCTGGCCATCTGGCGGAGGTGACGTTGGAGAGCAGCACTTCAGCTCTCCTTGCCCTGGTTTGTAAGGTACGGGCTAGCGTCTGCATGTGCTGTGCTGCTCCACTGAAGGGGTAAAGAGCTCCCTTTTTTCTCTCTGCTCCCTGTCTTTTTCAGACTTTCTTGAGCCTCGTTGAACAGGGAGGGAGAAGGATTCACTGCTGAGAATAGGATCTGCTCAGTTGCGTGTGTTACACAAGCGTGGGGAAATGCTGCTTTCCCTGCATGCACAAGCAGGCCTGGCACAACTTGGCCTCAAAGTGGAGGTGTTGAGTTAGTGAAAATTTCCTTTAGACACGAGAGCAGAAAAGGCAGAAACGGTTAAGTGTTTTCCCCTCTCATCAGTTGTCTAAGGTTCTTGCAATGAGTTAACCATTGCCGCTTCAGCACAGCATTGCACTAATGCTGCACTGGAGGATAGATGCTAGATAATGTTTCTTTCATTTTTTTTTGGCATTGCACAAAGCTAATTACTCAGATCCCACAGACTTGAGAGCTCTCTTCTAACGGATGTTACAATTTGCTAATGTAAAACTGAAAAGCAAAGTCAAATTGAAACATAAATTTCCCATCCACTAGGCTTTCTCGCACGGTGAATTTACTCAGCCTGTAGTGCATGTGTAGTGTTTTCACATAGCCTCAGACATCTGTAACCTCAGATAAGAAGCACTGAATGAGCTGACACAAATTAATACCTGAGGTAAATCTAGTGAACCCAGCCGTGCTGCCCCACTGAATGTTTTGGCTAGTCCTGCTGCTGAGCAGTCTGTTGGTGCCGTTGCTCTGATCAAACGGACGCCCGAGCTCCCGAGAAATGCGCGTCCCGGTGGCCGATTTGGATCATGCACCAATTTTAACCATGTTCTTAGAATGACAGTGTTGGGTCGGTAATTACAATGTAGTATCCTTAGGGAACTGGTGCAAGTATGTGCAGAGCCCTCATTAACTGACTTTTCTTGCCTGCACATGTAAGGCTTCCCCTAGTTCCAGAGACAAAGGCTAACTTAGCCAGAGACTCCCTCACAACAGCTTCTTCCCTGGATGATCTTGAGATGGTCTCGGTCACTTCCTAGAGAACAGACATTAAAATTGGAGCCTATTGTTACTCTCAGCAGCTCCTAAGGAATTAATGAACAGAAAACTGCCTTCCCATCCCTGCTGGTCAGGTCCCTTCAGGTCAGGACTGTGACTCGGCGGTGCTGGGGAGAAGCCGCTTGCCTATGTGCTGCATGTGCTCTGGGTAAATACAGGACTTAACTTTCCAGCTCTCTGAACTGTTAGCCAATCTTCAAAATTTAATTATAAACCAGACGGGAAAAAAATAATGCAAAGGACATTGATTCATATGCAGAGTGGTAATTGCATATGTTCTGTTGAGAGACAGGGTTCTCTGATTAATTTCTTTTTCCCCTATGAATTAATTGCTTGAAGAACATCATTTTCTAAGCCAAAGGAATTAAGGAGGACAAAACATCTAGAAATTGTAGACCCCTTAACTATCACTGCTGCTTGCCATTTATAYGATACTTTAAGCCTGGAACCCCTGTTACAGAGAAATACAACCCAACTGTCAAGACTGGCACCCTTAGGATACAGATGCACCTGAACACACCAGCCTGCTCTAACTTGTTCCTGGCGCGTTCGCTGACCTGGGGAGCAGCGTGCTTGTGCGGGATGCGCTGCCGGAGCGGGGGCTCCGCAGCGGCAGGACGGGCGCACGGGCACCTGCTGCCCTCCTGCCTGCCGGGGAGCCCCTGCGGGAGGACGAGCAGCGCAGCCCCCGCTGCAGGCAGGACGAGGATGCTCTTGGGTGCTGCTGTGACAGCCGCGTGCTCCGTGCCTGTGCTGGTGTATGGGTGCCAGCACCCCGGCCCGAAACTTCCCTCCCTTCCCCCGGGACTCCCCTTTGCTCTCCCAGCCCCTCCGTACCGGCTCTCCCCGCTCGCCGGGCAGGGACCCGGTCCAACTCCCCGAGCGGTGCCGGCTCCGCGCCGACCCCAGCCSTGCGCGAACTTCCTCCCCGCCGCGAGCGGGGCGCATCTCCGGGCGGCGGGTGCACTCACCGGGCAGCCCGAGGCAGAGCAGCAGGCTGTAGTAGACGACGGGGGCATAGCCCAGGCCACAGCCATACTGGTGGTGCGCCAGGAGCGAGCTGTTGTGCAGGTGGAGGTGGTTGTGCTCCATGGACGTGTCCTCCGCTCCCCGCCGCCGCTCCTCCCGCGGCTGCCGGC